TGCAGCAAAATCTGAATGTTTCTTATCAAAGTCTTGCCATAGTGGTGAATCTGCAGGATGCCTAAGCAGACCATCCTTTTTACGGTCTTCATCATGGCATCTCACTAGACTTGCTGTTTTAGAGGATAGAAATATCCGTTTTAGACATTTCTTTAGAAAGTAGCGGAGAACCTTTTTAGGAACCTTATATACATGTTTTCCAACTAGGCTCTTCCTTACTGATTTCCATCGAGAAGCCTTACATTTTGGACATGAATCCAACCCCTCGTTATCTTTCCAAAATAGAATGCAGTCATTATCACAAGCATGAATACTAGTGTATCCGATTCCTATAGATTTCACCAATTTCTTAGCTTCATGAAAGTTTCTAGGCAGTGTCGAACCCTCAGGTAGTGCATCATTAAGTAGATCTAGTAGCAGGTTAAAACTCTTATCACTCCACCCTCCGAGGAGTTTGGTGTGGAGTAATCTAATTAGGAAACGCAGTTGTGTATATTTCTTGCAATTAGGGTATAACTCTTTGCTATTCTCTGCTACTAACTTCTGAATGGCGACTAGCTCCTCATAGGGTTCTAGGTCTGAATTGTTGTCATCAAAATCCCCTTTATCATCTAAACCAGCAGCTAAGTCCCTAAGCAAATCAGATATGTTATCATCTTCGTCAGTCTCCTCCATAAGTTCAACACCATCATAGTTTCCATGATTCAGAGAAGAGCTAACTTCTCCATGTATGGTCCATGTTCTATACCCTTTTAGAAACCCATCACATATCAAATGCTCACGTACTTCACTTCCCTCCCTCCAAAATGAGTTAACACACTTTCTGCAAGGGCATAGTATCTTGCTTCCTACCGCTGAATTCTCAAATGCAAAAGCTATGAAATTGTTCACCCCTTGTTGATATATCTTGGTGTGCCTACATGCAGTTTTTAAGTTAATTCCCATGTTAACTACAAATAGAACTTTCAGCCTTTGTGAAATAAGTCTTTGTACCTAGCATCATTATCGATCCATGATTTGTCCATTCCCCTTTGTGAAAGATCAAGCAGCTTTAGAAATGAACTATAAAATAAAAAAAAGACCATAAGCAGCAAAGAAGCTACATACTTTGACAATCCTGCTCATATCCATGAATCCACATAACAGTTTTAATTTAAACACGATTGTCGTGTTCATGTCCACAACAATATTAAAAAAGATGGCCTACAGAAAGAGGATCATACCAGTACGCACAAGAAGAGCAACTGCCAATGTTGTGGCTGTTCAAATAATCTCCAAAAGATTGCAAGTTGCCCACTTCGGCTCTAGACTGGGGTAGACGGTCCTGTGCAGATTCTTTCAGCTACATGTCCAACACACCATGGCAGCTGTAGTGTTAATACACATGACATTAGATCAGTACATGTATAAGTATGTTGAGACATGAATTGCAAAACAAACTAGTGTAGTAAATTGATTATGCCAAAAAGATAATAGTCTGCATTTCTGTTTTCTATTACTTTGCACAGGAACTTATATATAGGGTGACAAGCTAGAGTAACAGGAAAAATTGAGATCAGGCTACTGCCCGCAAAATCATATCATCATTTAGCACATCTGGTCTGTCAGCGCGTGTGTGCCATGACAAAAACCGATTTTCAATGGAGGTATGTAGAAATGTACAATGCAAACATATTGGTTATCAATAAACAATGTTATACAACTGAATCATGGGAAACACTGGGGATAATACTATACGGCAAGCTTAAATGTAAACACACACATTATTTATATACATTTCTATAGATGTAGAGGATAACACTATATGGCAAGCATTGAATGTAATAGCAGGAAGACACATACGTACGTTTCTATGGGGAACTGCAGCCGACAAGGAGCGATAAAGGGGTTTCTACAGAACCTATTGAATATTAGATGTGCCCTGTCTGATCTGCAGAACCTCGAATGGCACCAGTGTACATGCGCAAATAGGGAAGTTTTATGGCACAGTCTCGACTTCAAAGAGTTCTGTGTGAGACGTGAATAGAAAGCATGTCCATTTGTCACTTTAGATTTGATATCTTTGCAATATGCTGCTGGATTCCAGCTATATACACGCTATCACTGCTTTTTGATTAATAAAAAAAAACAAAAATGCAGACTTAGGGAGAAGAGTAGCAGACATACACGAGAGTAGCAGACTTACAAAAATGCAGACATGTTCTTCTAGGGAAATGACGAAGAAGAGTAGTCCACACCACACGCCTACCAATCGTCTCTTCTGGAACTATCGCTCCTAAATAGAATAGTGTAATCTAGGTGCAGATTTGGCAAACTAGCGTACAGTGACGGGGGATTTGTGTTGCCGTATGTAAGGGTGTTTTGGAGGAAGGGAAGGGAGGATTTGGTTGGACCTGGCAAGGGCGCGGATTTGGGCGGCCGTGCAGGGTTGGCACGCGACACGAATCACGCGGCGGCGGCGGCACAGTTGGGCGGCGGAGGAGTTGGGTGGTGGCGGCGGCTGCGGAATTGGGCGGGCGTGCAAGGATTTGGTGGGCGGCTGAGCTGAGATGCGGCAGCGAAGTTGGGCGGTGGGGTCAGCTGCGGATTTGGGTGGGCGGGCAAGGATTTGGTGAGTGCGAGACTTGCGGTGGAAGCGGCGGCAAATGAAATATGAAGATGCACCTGAAGACTGAAGTGACCAAGAGTTAGGGTTTGGAGAGATCGTATTTGGGCCCAACAATTTTGCTGCGAATGGGCCCTGTTTCATTTTCAGTCTCCCGCGAACCTGTCTTCTTTTATTTCCACACCGCGCGCCAAAGGCACGGCCCTATACCGACCGAAGGTGTGTCCTCTATACTGATCTAAACCGACCAATTGTTTGACTATATAGGTAAATATCTATACCGACCGATGGTTTATCGCAACATGTACAGTTACCGACACTTGATCCGTGGGCTAGCTATACCGACCGACGGTGCAACGGTATTAGTATATTTATAACGACACACATGTGACCCTATATTAGTGTTGTGGTGTAGTGAATTTGGAATGGAGGGAGTAGTGTTTTTATAAGATTTATCATGACAAAATGCTACTTGTATAGAAATTGGAATCAAAATTTCACCATTTATACTGTGCTAATGTTCTATATACTGCTTATATTTGTGACTGGCTAGAGTGAACACATAATCACTCTAGTCACAAATATAATAATGTCTTAAATGTACAAGCTTTTGGTTCTCTCAAAAAAAATGTGCAAGCTTTGTGACCCTTAGAAACATTTTTTATCTTATACAATTTTGTCAAAAGTTCTACATTTTTTCTCATTTTTTAAATATGTATTTGTAATATATCTTTTATCCACCACATATCACCCTATTTGGATTTATAGAACTAACAACTAGTTGACTATTTGTTAGACCCTAAGGATCCAAATAAGCAGACTAATTGTTAGTCCACTAGTCTATAGATATGAGCTAACATGACTATTTGTTAGTCCTAGTCCATCACTGTGCCAAAATCCGCCACTGTAAATTACTCCCCTCATCCCGAATAGACTTGCCTTTTTATGAGAATTTTAGGAACTTGGGACCTTAGTGTGCAATTTGCATGTACCGAAACCGAGACATATATGAGAACCCGAGATAAGTTTAGGAAACCAAACGTGCAATTTGCAAGTTCCACAACCGGGATGAGAATTCGAAACAAGTTTACGGAGTTGAATGTGCAATTTCAAAAAGTACCAAGACTCAAATGGGAACTTAGGACAAGTTTGAGGACCGCTACTAAAATTTACTCTTTGATCTTATTAATTGTGCATCTTTTATCCACGTCTAGAAACTCTAGGGCTTAACGTCTTATTATCTTTTATTTAAAGTTTCCTACATAATGTAACAAGAGTATTAATATAATTTAAAGTGATTTTTTAGCGTTATTGGTATACGATTTGTGAAGGGAATTCACTGTCACCGTATATGGCTTTGCTTTATGTGCTGGGGATGAGCCTGGGGCAAAGGATACAAGTAGCTCAGCGTTGTCCTCATCATCTGTTTCATTCAGTCATGCTCGTAGAGACATGAAGGCAGACACCCGGATTATTGCAACCCCAGTCAGAAGTATCTCCATGCATTCTGTACTCATCAGATCGATAACCGATCCAGCGCGGGAGCCAACATATCGACTCCGAGCTGAACATAAGAGTACACAATAATCACTTATTTAATTAGACGACCAAACTGATCGATAATGGCGGTGCCTCCTGCTAGCTACCACGCCATTCGTTGGCTCTTATTGACGACTGGTGATAGATGCTATACTTAGATTGACGACTGGTGATAGATGCTATACTTAGTTTGCTATACGTCTCCTTAGGCGGACGACGCAGAGGCTGCAGAAGTGTTGTCGATGAACTCCTTGATGGTGTTGCGGAGCTTATCTGGATAGGCACCAACAAAGCTCTCCAGCGTCAGATCGTCCCTGATGAAGACGAAGGTCGGCGCCGCCTGGATGTTGTAGCTCTTAGCAACTTCCTGTACGTCGTCGAACGAGGAAACACAGCTAGCATGATCAGCATACGATGACGACATGATCGATCATGGGGCCGGGTTGAATTGAAACCAAATGCATGCACATGATTTGGCGAATTAATTAATTAATCACCTATATATATTGGCTATTATTGGGACGACACCGACACCGTACGTACTCACCTTCAGTTCGAGAATGTCGACCTTGAGGAAGACACCTTTAGTAGGGTACTCCTTGGCGCACGCCGCGAACACCGGGGCTATCTCTTGGCAAGCACCGCACGTGGGGGACATGAAGTCGATCACCACCTGATCGATCGACGCCGGGGTAGAGGACATGAAACAGGTTGCTGACAAATTAGTAAGCTCAATGCTAGAAAGAATTGTTAGTAGTAACAAGAACAGGAACAAAAAACTCATCGTTGAACAGACAGCGCGGGCATATTATCGAGAAAATTAAATTACAGGGAGACAGATCGATGGCGTACGTACCAGCTTGCCGGCCTCGTTGCCCTTGGCCAACTGGGCGTCGAACTCCTCCTTGGTGTGGCACGCGATCACGGTCCCCTCCGCCGCACCCGCCATTCCTCTCGCTGTCTTCTTCGGTTCTTCCTCGCTGGGATCGAAAGCTAGCTTCTGATGCTGACTAAGGTTTTCTCTCGGCGGCTGGCTGGTGGCCAGTGGCCTAACCTGGGGCGCGAGCCGCGGCTTTTATAGGCGCAGCAACGTGTGGGGTCGAGGGAGCTTGGGCGGCGGCTCCGATCCCGGCCCGGTGCTATTCGTATTCCGGGGTCTTGAGCTCCATCTCTACATACGGTGTCACGATGGGGGTGGTTCAAGCTTGGATCGAACCGTAACTGATCCATCGACCCATTTGCTGTGTACCGCGGTGCACCAATGGATAGTATGGGTCGGTTGATTACTTAGACAAGAGCACGATGAGGTTACTGCTTCTCGTTGGTTGCTTGCTTAAACAAGAGCACGGCTTGCTTGCTACCGGCTACCGTTTTGTACAATTTTTTTTTATAAAACGTCAAATACGACTTTGCACAAAAGTTGCAACATCTAGCTATAAGAGCATGCATAAGATTTCCACATAAAGAACATGAATCAGTAACCACATCAAAGTTTTACAAAGGCAAAAAACTTTGACATATGACACTTCTTCGCCAAGTGGAGATATCAAGTAACATACGTACAGTTCGCTCATTCAAACATACAGACCAAGTGGAGATTTCAAACATACGTACATGTTTCTCAGTGTATCATTCAAACAGAGGAATAAGGAATATTAAAAGGTTCCATCTGATATACGGCATAAATAAAAATGAAACACATAGACCACCTCTCCCTGAATCTTCTAGCTAGCTTCTTTCAGTCAACTCTAACAGAAAACTAACAAAAAAAAAAAAAAAGAACAGCTGCCCCTACTTCCTACATCTTCTGCTTCCTTCAACACTGCTTCAGTGTACAGACCCTTCACCTGCTTCAATCCTGCTCCGGTTCAGTCTTTCTTCTTCTCTGATCTGTGGTTCCATTCCCTCAACACTGCATAGGCATACAATGACATGACGATTTGCATAGGCATACAATAAGCTAACTACTACTTATACAAATATGTACACAACTGCCTGCTAATGGAGCAAAAGCAGTATTTCAATGGACAGAATAAGGAAAATAAACCACAAAGGGTGCCAGCAGAAAGAAAAGGTCACCATTAATTTCCTTCTACAAGCTAGGCATACAAAAATTGAAAACACACTGCAGTTGTCAATAGAAATCTAAGCCATGATGACCCTTCAGAAGAATGACGTACATTACATGCAGAAGAATGAAAAGGAGGCAAAATACATTACATGCAGAAGAATGACGTACATTAGACTATGACTATATGATTTTGGTCTTTTTGGGATATCTTTAGTAAAAAATGAAAAATCTTTAATTTTATTCCAGGCTTCATATGAGCTACGCAAATTGCTAACAAATAGAAAACCAACCCCGTTCGCTTCCCTGAAAAAACTAGTCGAAACACTGTTCCGGCTGATTTGTCGTGAGAGAAAAACACTATTCCGGCTGAAAAAATAAGCTGAAAAGTACGGATTATTAAGACAAGCGAACAGGGCCTTCAGAGCGCACAAACAAATAACGCAAAGCTAAGCACTTAGTAAATTGGAGGCAGATTGGCCGCTAGTTGACCAAGAACCGGGTCCTGGTAGTTTAGAACTTCAGATAGCTGACATCTTTGTATCTGATGCAAAGAACTACAGATGCTGACGGTTTAAACCATGGTTGGTGTTATGTTGTAATCAACCATCTGCCATATGGTATCCATATATGTACAGAATTAATGGAATTCTCCTATACCAAAAAGAGGTCAGCAATTCAGCATCGTTCAGAAGTACAAGAAGAGCACAAGACAATGAAAGAGTGGACAGAACAAAAGGTTTGATTGCTAACGACTTCAACAGCAAAATGTTATAAAAACAATTATATTCAATTGGTTTGGCCGAAAGGCATTGTAGTAAGCTCAGGAGCACAAACTACTGAAACTAGAGCCTGATTTTTTTTTACAATTTAGCCCTTTTTTCGAAAGTTTCTCACAAATAAACCCCTAGCGGAAAGAATTCAGAAAATGGACCCTTAGCTCGGCGCCATTGATGCTGGCGCTCGAGCGCCTGGGTACGGTGGATAACTTGCCAGAGAGGTCGGCACCATTCACTCTGGCGCCGAGCCTTCAATACCTATTGGGCCCGCGCCTTTCCTCTCTTCTTCTCCCTCTCTCGCCCTAGGTTAGCTGAGCTCCACCGCCGCCGCCGCCGCCCGCGCCCGCGCCACCGCGCCTGCTCCCACGCCCACACTGCGTCGTCACCGTGCCCGTGCGCAAGCCCTGCGGCCGCGCCGCCCCCGCGCCTTGGCGTGCAGGAGTGCCGCGCCCCGCGGCTGTGCCGCCCCCCGCGCCGCGCCGTTGCCCGCGGCTGGCCGCCGCGCCGCGCCGCCTCCGCCGGCCCCGCCCCGCCTTGCCACCGTCCACCGCCGGCGTGCCTCCCGTGCGCGTCGATCCGGACTCGTCGCGCGGAGCCCCGGGCATCCCGCGCCCGCCGCACGCCACCGCTCTCGTCGGTCGTGCCACCGCCGGCCCGGATCGTCGGCCTGACCCACGCCCATCTTCCGCCAGCCCGGAAAGGTAAAAATTATGAAAAACAAATTAACCTACTTAGTTGGCATTTGTTATTTACTAGTTAATGTGATGACTCTGGTAGTTGATTTAGTTAGTGATATAGTGAGATATATATGTAGATAGATAGAAACATAGATACATAGGTACATAGATATAGTTAGATAGCTACTTAGATATGTAGTTACATATTTAGTTAACTACATATGATCTAGCTATTTAGTAAGTACACTGTAACTATATACGTAGTTATTATCTTGATTACTTAGTTTGTAGTTAGAAAGTACTTGTTAGGTACTATGTATCGTCTAATTTGGACTAAAGGACATATGTTTCGTTACGTGTTTGAACTAGATGGACAACCTAGTGACCATATATCATGGAGGCACCGTTGAAAGCGATCGTTATGGATATGTTGAGTTTGTTGACATGCAAAGCGTGCCTGTGCTATTCAATGATAGGCCTTCATTTAGTGAGATGGTTGCAAGGGCTCGGGAGGAGCTGCATTGCCTTGGAGATGATGGCATTGCAGTTGATGGTGTACTGCACCTAGGTTCTCCTCCGAACATCTTGAGGCGAATGATCTCAATTGGTTATGCGGATTAGTGGGAGAACTATGTGAGATTGGCTATGAAGAGCCAGCTGCAATGTTTGGACGTGGTTGTGCGTCGGGTGTTAGTTGATCCCATGCCTCATGGGTTTACCCCAGCAATGGATCATCTGGCATACATCGACCCTCCCATTCCGGAACCTTACCCGCATGTGCAGATTGCACCTACGGTTTTCGATGCTCAATCTGCACCCAATGCGGTATTTGGAGATGGTTGTCAGACTCATGTTTCTGTGGCAGATCCTCCTTATGAGATCCCTTTGACACAGAATCATCCGTGTAAGTGTCTTAGCCGCATGGTTTTTGGGAGCTTATCCCGTTCCTTGCATCTATCATTCTTTCCTCATTTCTATACTGATGTTGCAGGAGACATTCATGAGAATGTGGATGTGCCCCCTATTGCTGCGCAAGTGCACTTTGGAGATGGATTCCGTGGCTCCAATAGTGTTGAAATTATGCATGATTCGGAGCCATATGAGATGGCTAGGGCTCTTGATTCTGATGATGATCGCCCTGTTGGAGAGTTGACAAAGAGTGATGTTGAGATGATGAGGCGTATCTTTCTCGGCCGCCGTGATCCTAGAGATCACGAGTTCAACGATCTTGCTCATTCCGATCAGGCGTTTGTAGAAGGACGTGATGATGAGCTCCTAGAAGCTCATGAGGCCGATCCTAACATGGTAATTGAGAATGGGAGGGTGTTCAATGACCTCCCTGCTTTGAAGAGGTGGTTGCAGGCTTTTGCAGTGATACGAAAGAGGCCTTATAGGGTATTGCATTCATATGCGGAGCGCCGTTACACAGTTGTGTGTGACAAGGAACGCTGCCCATGGAGGGTTTGTGCAAGGAAGCAACAGGTAATCGAAAAATGGAAGATCACAAAAGTTGTTGGGCCACACAATTGTGCTGACCATGAGCTAACACTGAGGCATCGGTAGTTGACATCTACCCTCATTGCCAAGCTGTTGATGGGAATTTTGCAGGGAGAACCTAACAGGAAGGTGAGGACAATTATCAGGACCGTTGATGCGTTGTATAGAGGATCTGTGATAAGTTATGGTAAAGCATGGAGGGCTAAGCAGCAAGCGTGGAAGATGATATATGGGTATTGGGAGGATGGGTATGAGCAGCTGCCAGTGGATGTGCGTGGAAGATGATATATCAGGACCGTTGAGGTGTTTTCTATACCGGCAGCTGTGCGAGGGGTGTCGTCGGTCTACGTCAAACCCGTCACTTGGTGGATGCGTATACCTGTTACAGCTGTGGATGTGGGCTCATCTTCTAGTTGGCCGTCCTAAGGTTCTGGATCATCGTGAGTGGTTCCAAGGTTAGCCTCCAAGACGGCAGCCGACGTGGGCGTACCTTTGGGACCAGGCCAGGGTTCCGCACGCGAGGTTAAACCGGGCGTACATTGAGTTCACCAACGAGCTAGACACGCTGACGTCGTCTAGTGTAAGTAAATTTTATTTCCCATGCTGGTTTTAAAAGTATTAGTATACCATCTAACATCTTGTTTGGACAATTTGCAGGTGGAGTGGGAGCCGTACGGTGGAGAGGACGCACTTCCTTTTTAGCTGAGCAATGTTTGTGGGGCCGACGATGACTTCTATAGGATGAGGTGCCCTCTAATCTACTTCTATGCTGTTGAGTTCCACCTGCCAGATAGGGTTGCGCGCCAATTTGGAGAGAGACAGCTCTGGCCTACGGCTCTCTTCTCGACTAGCATTGACTTACACAAGTAAGTGTTTTGATATTTCAAATGTCTCATGATGATGGTCCATTTCTAAAAATATGGTGACA